TGGGGGTGGGGGGGGGGGGGGGGGGGGGAGATTTCTCCTAACCACCTTTTTATCTTTATTACAAGTCCAACCGGACCAGAGGCTTCACCTGCCTTTTTGGTCTAACTGTACCTTCCTGAATAAAAGTGGCTTCAGTAACCCTTGATTCAACCCGTCTCTCTGGTACAACATGGTTAGAATCATCACCTCTTACATTTGTTGACACAATGCCATGAGCCCTCGTTTTTAACACATTCATGTCAGTTACATCATTCTGCAACAATTCCTCATTTTCTTCTGTTTGTTGTACTTCTGAACCAATGAGCTGATTTACATGTCTCTTATACAATTTTCCACATATTTTCACCAAATATATAACAGGACCCAGTACAAGGACCAGTAACCACACTTCCTGGTACCCATTTGACACCTTCTCCTTCCCTGTGGTTTCGAACCAAGACCTGTTGTTTTGTCAGGAACTGTCTTACAGTTTTACTCTGAGATTGTTTCTCTTGCTGAGCTGCTTGTTTCTGCTGCATGCTCACAGTAAAACTCGGTTTCAAGAGTGACATTCTGGTTTTGAATTTCCTCTTTATAAACAACTCTGCTGGAGTTTTACCTGTAGTAGATTGAGGAGTACTTCGGTAACAAAAAAGGAAATTGTGAATACAGTGCATTAAATACATGTTGTCATTCTTTCCCTTTTCCAAAGCTCTTTTTAGATTTTGCACTAACCTCTCTGCAGCTCCTTTAGAAACTGGATGGTAAGCAGGAATCTTGATGTGTTTAACACCATTGTTTTGCAGAAATGTCTGAAATTCGCTGGACACAAACTGCGGACCGTTATCCGAAACCAATTCATCGGGAAGGCCCCAGGTAGCAAAGTAACCCCTTAGAACCTCAATGGTCTTTCCTGCAGTTGTGTTAGACATTAGTGCAATTTCTGGCCAGCGTGAAAAAATATCTGTTACCACCAGAAAATTGTATGTTCCTTTATGAGCAAAGTCTACGTGTATTCTTTGCCACGGCCTATTAGGCCAACTCCAATTATGCACCGGAGCCGTAACTGGCTGAATTCTCTCTCCCTGACAGGTTTTACAGGTACGTACTAGTGCTTCTATATCCGCGTCAAGGTTTGGCCACCAAAAATGGCTTCGGGCTAAGGCCTTCATTTTAACCATGCCTTGATGATTTTGATGTAATTCAGCCAGTATTTGTGATCTTAACACTTCTGGCACGATCACCCAGAAACCCCAGAGAACGCACTCAGCTTCCACAGTTAATTCTGTGCTTCTCAACAAATATGGCTTTAGTTCTTCATCAGAAACATGTTTTGGCCAACCACTTAAAGTTAAATGTTTCACTTTCTGCAGCATTGTGTATTGTTTTGTCTGTTTTGCTATCTCGTGCAGATATTGGCACACTATCCAGAAACGACACTCGGAAATTCAACTTACTCTCCCTACTTTTAACAGTGAGAGGTAATCGCGACAATGCGTCCGCATTGCTGTTTCTCGGATGGTTTATACACGATGTCATACTGATACGCAGATAAGATCAGTGACCATCTCTGTAATCGCGCTGCAGCCAAGGTCGGAATGCCTGTTTTTGGCCCAAATATCATGACCAACCGCTTGTGATCAGTGTACAGTGTAAATTTTCGCCCATACAAGTAGTCATTAAATTTGGTTACACCAAAAATGATACTCAACGCCTCTTTTTAGATCTGCGAATAGTTAATTTCCTTCTTTGTCAACGTGCGTGAGACATATGAAATGGGCTTTTCTGAACCGTCTGGCAATTGGTGTGAAATTACTACTCCAACTCCATAAGGAGATGCGTCGCAAGCTAAAATCACAGGCAATTTTGGATCATAATGAGCTAACACCGGCGCTGACGACAACCTCGATTTTGTGCGCTCGAACGCACTTTGACATTTTTCTGTCCACCTCCAATCTGTGTCTTTGTAAAGCAACATGGTGAGTGGTTTAATTTCACTCGACAGATTGGGTTTAAATTTGCCATAATAATTGAGCATTGCCAGGAACGATCTCAACTTGGATACATTTTTAGGTACAGGGGCTTTGATGATTGCTTCGTTTTTTTCCGGGATCGGATGTAACCCATCCGCATCAATAACATGTCCGAGGTACGTGACGCTATTCTGAAAAAACGAGCATTTCTCCCATGTGCTTCTAGGCGTTTCAACACATTCCGCAAATTTTCCAAACGCTCCTCCGTGTCTTTTCCAGTTATCAAAATATCGTCAAGATAGCACACGCAACCATCTAACCCTTGCAATACCATGTCCATGGTACGCTGGAAGATTGACGGTGCACTAGCGACCCCGTATGATAAACGATTGTACACATACAATCCACGCTGCGTATTCACAGTGAGGAAAGACTTACTTTCCTCATCCATTTTGATTTGAGTATAGGCTTGCGTCAAGTCCAATTTTGTGAAATGTTTTCCCCCAGCTAGAGTAGAAAACAAATCCTGTGTTTTTGGTATGGAGTACTGATCAATATCAAGCCACGGATTGATCGTCACTCTGTAATCACCGCATATACGAATCGAGCCATCCTGTTTCGGAATACAGACAAGAGGCGCGGCCCATTCGCTGTGTAATACCAGAGAAATTATTCCTTTTTGCTCGAGTTCCATCAATTTCTTATCTACGGCCTCCCGTAGTGCATACGGCACCGGCCTCAGGCGACACTCGCAATTTTGTGGTTATCCCGATTGCGCAACCTAATTCCGAACTGAACACAGCTTTGTGCTACTCGCAAATTTTCTCAACCGGATCGCCTATGTGATTCACTCGAGACCAATCCAAATTTAGCACTTGGATCCAATCGCAGCCCATAAGAGCAGGCCCCCTTCCACGTGACACTAGCAAAGTTAGTTTTACGTCTTGCGCTCCGCTCTGAACTCTTACATTCATTTTTCCCAACAATTTTAGGGGGTGGTCAATGTATGTTCTCAGATTCAAATCACATGGTTGCAGTTTTACCTTTTTGAATTTCGACCAGTACAAACTCTCAGATATGATAGACAGAGCGGCCCTAGTGTCTACTTCCATACACAATTTTACCCCATTACATCTCACCATGACCTTGTATGGTTTTACATACCCTGACAAGTCCGTAGTTAATGTTTGCAGTCTCAAATCAGTTCGTTCCTCGGCAACATCCGCCGGCAAGTCTGCGACTCCAAGAACCGAATCCTCTCGTCTGTCCATGAAGTTTACCTCTGCTCCGCTCCGCGATGGCAGATAACGAGCAGGCGTTTTCTCTGTAGATCGGTGCTGTTCTCTTTACTTGAAATCAGCCCGCTTGTTCTTACAAGCCCGTTCCAGATGACCAGCTTTTCCGCATCTGCGACACTGGAACTCTTTGAATTTGCAGTCGTTCAGTCCATGCCCCTTTCCCAGACATCTGTAGCACTCGCGACCACTGTGGTTCCTCGATTCCCCTTGCGAAGTCCTGGTCTCGTGCGATTTTGCTCCTCACAGTCCAACATGATCTGTTCGCAGGTACGAGGGCGGTCCCTTCTGCATAGACTGCATACCACTGGTAGTACACTCAAAACTGTTTGTTATCTCGAGCATTCTTGCCCATGACAAACCGTGTCACTGGCGGCATTCAACAGTTTTCGGCGCAGTTCTTGGTTATTTATGCCACACACGAATTGATCTCTCAGCTGTTCCTCTAAGCTAGCGCCAAAATCACAGGTGCAGGCCAGTCCCTTCAAGCTAGTTATGTAGTCACCAAAAGATTCTCCCGGTTGCTGTTGACGATTTCTGAACGTAAATCTCTCAACCAGCACATTCTTCCTTGGTGTATAAAAGTCTACTTAAGTTACTGCCTTTAACAAGTCGGAAAATTCTGTTTCGCTCACCTTTTTCGGTTCAATCTTGTTGGTCGCCAGAAACTGCATAAGTCTCTCTTCATAATTTTCAAAAGTTTCTGACGTTTCGTCGAACATCAATTCCATTTCGGTACTGTAGAGCGCCATGCTGTCTGCGGCCTTCTTCTCTTTTCTTTGAACTAATCATGGCAGGGAGCGACCCACTGCAGAAATCGGCACATCAATCCCAACCATCCTAAAGTGCATAAGTTAAAGCACCACCCAGGAGAGCTGTCAAGGGATAGCAGTGCAAGGCTAGCTAGCTTTTGTTAGCCCCACAAAATCCACACCACACTGCAAGTGAAACTTGAAATCGTCAGAAACCATTTTAAACACGTTAGCTATCCAAGTTACATTAAAAAGAACATACCTGATATGAAGTGATCACTGCACAAGCGAAATCCATTGCTTGATGGCTCCCATCGCTCTGTTTTGTTGTGTTGGTTAGCACGTTTTATTGCAGTGAACCATTTTAGTCGTCTATCGGGATCCTTTGGAATACGATAAAATGATTTCCCCTTTGCTTTCCCCCGTCTGTTCTGGCATCCTGGCGCACAGCAGCTGTCCACCATGTTATAGTAAATAAGGTTTGTAAGGTCTAAACAGTTTTAAATTACAGCCACTCTAGTGCTCTCCTGATGGCCTGCCAAAATGGCGGAGTTTAGATTGCATGACGTCAACCTCCAGAGCTCTATAGGAATAAAGAAGCTTGAAATGCATTGCTTGCCTATTCTTTTTCGTGACTCTTTGAGTGAGCTCAGCTCAGCTGTGATTGGACGGGCTGACGTCACGGGACTGACTAGATAACGGGCGCGGTTTTTGAATCTTTTTAGGAAACACACTAAAAATATATATTTTGCCGTAAGTAAAAGTTATTACATTAAAAAAGGCTTAATGTTAGGCTTTATATGAAATACTTATGTACACTGAAAAAAATTATAAAAAAATATTTTTAAGGTAAGTGGTTGCAAACAATTTATCTTAGGTAGGCCTACATTTAAATAAAAAATGTTAAAAATTAGTCAACTAAATTTGCTTATCTAAATGTAGCTAAAATAAATTGATTGCAACCACTTTCCTTAAAAATTTTTTTGTAAATTCAATGAATATTTTTTCCCCCAGTGAAATATAGTATTAGTAAATATATAATATATATATAAATAGTAAATATATTTACTATTGTTTATGTATTTATTTGATTAGCTTTTAATTATTTATAATAACCTATAGCCCTATACTCTATACAAACATATTTTCTCCAAAAACATTATTTAAAAGAAAAAAGTTGTTTCAAGTCTGTTCAACATGATGCAGTCGTGTTTGAATGGGAAACCTGATATAATGGTGTTAAATCAAAAGGAATTGTTTAAATAAAGTGAACAGCATTACATTATTTTTTTTTCTTAGTGAGCAGTGTTCTTTATCATTCCTGTAATAACACAACTCTTTAAAAGAGAAACAATTCTGTTATACAGTTAAGTGATGGAACATTCTGTGAAATTATGACCCTGGTGGCTTTCAGGTGTGAGGATGGGGCATCTTCTGCATCCACTACAAACAGATTCTGTGTTTTAGCTAAAGAGCTTGCATGGAGGAAAATTTTAGAGATGTTCAGCTAAATATATCCTCAACATTTATATAGTGTCTCATAATGTATTTGCTGTCCATCCTCAATCACTCAAATGCAAATGTGTAATTATTAGGATACAAACTGTATGTCATTCCACTTCCAAACAATATTGAAAGAGACTAAAAACTGATTTCTGGGGAACTACTTCTGCAGCTTTATACAGATATCAATGCCAATTGTTGTTTTTCAGCTTTATTTCTCCATAAAATGTATAATGATATGTTATAATAATGCAATGATATAATATTAATGCAGAGTGAGCGAACTTCAGTTTTTGCCCATGCAATATAGACAGTGCTTACTTGACTGTACACTTTATAATGCATTCGCTTTATTTATTTGTGTTATTACTTTCTGAAAACAATGTATGTCCAAGTAATGAAGTGAATT